AGTTAGGGATGCAGATGCCTGGCCCTCCCCCTATACCTTACTCACTCACTCACAAACTCTGGGGTGGAGCCCAATGATCAGTGTTTTCACAACAACAACCTTGGAATTCTGATGCCTACAAATGTTTGAGAACTATTGCTTTACTTAACACCTGAATGCTACTTTTTCTTCCTCATTTACTTTGGCAAATATAAAAGCAAAGGTAAAGGTACACTTGAACACCTTTCATTAAAACTATCAGAAATACCAAATATTTCTAATATTTTGATATTACTTTGATTGTTGTTGATTATTGATTAGCACCATTGATTCAGTTCCAACTCAAAGCAGTCTTACATAGGGTTTCAAAGGAGTGGCTGGTGGATTTGAACTACTGACCTGGAAGTTCAAACCAACCTTGTGGTCCAGTGCTTACCCTACAGTGTCACACCAGGACTCCATATAATCCTTTATTGTTGTTGTTGTTAATGCCATTGAGTCAGTTCTGATTCACAGCAACCCTGAATAGAGTTTCCAAGGAGTGGTTGGTGGGTTTGAACCACGGAGCTTGTGGTTAGCAGTCCAATGTTTACCCTACAGCTTATACCAGGACTCCTTAGGCTAATAAAAATCCCAGAAGACAAAGAAAGAAATGGAGATGAAAAAGTGAAATGTAATGCATACTCTGAAAAACACACCAGAAAGTGTCTTACGCTCCCTAAGAGAAAGAACTGAACTCAGACATCCTGAGTTTTAATAATTAAATGATTTGCCTGAAGTCTAAGATGGAAGTGTAATTTAACTAAAACCAGACTATTTCTATCCTCTGAGCCTTCAGAAATTAAATTCATTCTGCTGGGGGCACCTCCAGCCCTCCCTGGCACTAGCCTACCACCTTCTTGAAGCTACTCCTGAGGCCCCCAGAAGAATTGGCTCCCTGCTCTCTGAGCTCATATATCTTACACTTAACTTGAGTGAGGCATGAACCACATAACACAAAGGCTGCCACAAAGCTTCTTTATAATTATGTTTAAGAGATGCACAACGGCATGGATCCGTCAGTATACATACACCATTTGGTAAATATCTGACTAGACAGCTGTTTCCCCTCTAGCCTTGAGTTCCTTGAAATGAGGGCCTAGACCATATCATTTTTTGTTTCCCAAAAGCCTAACAAATTGTGTTTGCGGAATAAATGCTACTATGGTAGTCACATAGTTTGCAGTTTACTTCATCAGAGGAGAATTGGAAAAAATAGGTTTGGTCCATCTGAGATGAATGAGGGGCCTTTAAAAACAAAACAAAACACCCCATTGCCATTGAGGTGACTCCAACTCATAGTGACCCTATATAGGGTTTCTGAGGCCAGAAACCTTTGTGGAAGCAGAAAGGGTCATCTTTCTCCCGAGAAGTCAGCAGCTCGAACTGCTGACCTAGTGGTTCACAGTCCAGATGTAGGTCACTTAGGCAAACATAATTTTATCATTTAAACAGAGCTTGTAAAGTATCCAAAGAACATCCAAACCTAAAGCTACAGCCATCCAGGTGATTCCAAGTGGCAGTGACCCTATAGGTCAGCGCAGACCGTCCCCCAGGACCTGAGGTTGAGGCTCTTTCCAGAAGTAGACTGGTTCATCTTTCTCCCACAGAGCACTGTTGGGTTTGAAATGATGAGCTTTCAGGTAACCGCCCAGTGCTTAAACCAAAGCTCCTTATCCAAACAAAAAAGCAGTGTAAGATGTCAACAGTAACCAAAACCCCCTTTTTTTAGCATAGCTACTTTTTGCAACCTTATTAGAAGGGTAAGTTTTTTCTTGATCCTAGCAGGAGGCATAAGAGATTAATCACTCATAATTTTATTTCAGCAAGTTTAAATTCAGATACTATTTTTCACTTAAATCAAGTGTCTGTCTGTCTCCAAGGAGTTCTATACTACTCCAGTAACTGCTAACCTTTTAGGAATTATAGCAAGCTGTCTTGTTGATTATAAATCCCTACCTTCCTAAATGTACTATGAGGTAAACATTGATGTTTAAATAAAAGGGTGTAAGTGTTCTCCAATTTAACCATAAATTGCCCTTTAAATATTCTGGAATCTGCTTTTAATTTCATCAAATCCATCTTTCTCATTAATAGAATGAGGCTGAATCAACATTCATTAATTTATACAACATATTTGAAATTTTAAAAATTGGGGAGGGCTGTTGGGTCTGGGGGCTCAGGACAATAGTCTCAGGGGGCATCAAGGTCAAGTGACATAACAGAGCCCACAAAGATAATGTTTTACATCCTAATTTGGTGAGTAGCAACTCTGGGGACTTAAAAGTTTGTGAGCAACCACATAACGTGCAATTATTGGTCTCTTCCCATCTGAAGCAGCAAAGAAGAGTGAAGAAAACCAAAGACAGAAAGAAGGAAAGAACCAGTCCAAAGACTAATGACCAGAAGAACTAGATGGTGTCTTGCTACCACTACAGACAGCTATGAAAGGGATCACAACAGAAGATTCTGGATAGAGTGGGAGAAAAAAAATGTGGAACAAAACTGAAACATTATTAAAGAAAACAAACAAACAAAACAAAAACTAGGTTTACTGGTGTGATCGAGACTGGTGGAAGCCCCGTCAATGAGACTATGGCCCTTAGGTACCTTTCAGGCAGGAACTGCTCACCTGTGGCTCAACTTTCATGAAACAATACAAACGCCTATAAGGTGAACAAAAATACACGAGAGAAGTACACACTCCTTAGAACCACCAACCAATCAAGATCAAAAGGGCAGCATCTGCACAAGGATAAAGCCAGAAAACAGGAAGGGTTAGGAAAGGACGAATGGAGATGGGAAACACAGGCATGGAGTGGGAAGAATGTTGTTACTTGTGGTGACTGAAATCAATGTTATGAAACAAAATGTGCATGAAATACTGAATAGAAGACGAACTTGCTCTATATACTTTCACCCAAATTACAATAAAAAAGTTATTTGTTTGTTTGTTTAAATGGGGTTTGAAAGAGACTCTAACTCTAGAGGTGCTATGTAGGTAAAGAAATTAAGGCTCAGTACAATCAGTGATTTGCCAAGTCTCCGAGGCTGGTGATATACTCTGCCCAGTTATCCTCTAAATTCAAGCCTTGTTGCACCATCTCTACTATGTCTTCCAAGGAGCCCTGGTAGCGTAATGGATTATGAGCTGGTCAGCAGTTCAAATCTACCAGTCACTCCTCAAGACAAAGAAAATGATTTTGGCTCCTGTAAAGACTTACAGCCTTGGAAACCCTACACAGTTGAAACTTGAGTTGACAAAACACAACTACCACCACCACTATGTTGTTGTTCTTAAGTACAGTGGAGTCACTTCTGACTCATAGTGACCCTGCACAGGGTTTCCTAGGCTGTAAATCTTTACGGGAGCAGAAAGCCTCATCTTTCTCCCGCGGAACAGCTGGTAGTTTCGAACTGCCAACTTTGAGGTTAGCAGCCTGTTTTGTAACCACTATGCTACCACCACTATCTCTTCCAAGAAATGGCTTCCATGTAACAAAATAATGAAAAGTTGTTGTGCTGAACTGTCACATTTTCAAAAATTCTTCTCAGTTACTACTTAATTCTGTCCACCCTGTGCAAAGTCTATTTTAAAACAGAAAGTAAGGGGCAAAAAGCAAATAATTGGAGAAAGGAATTTTCAGTCACAACTCAGTCACCATAAATCGCTGTGTTCTTCATGGCATTTTATTAATGAAATGAATCTGTCATTTGCTCAAGAAAAACTTGAGTGTCCAAAATATGGTCTAAGGAGCTCTGGAAGCTCTGCACAATGCTAATCTTGTTATATAAGAACTGATTCCCTAAAATAGTTTTGAAAATCACCAGGCAGCATTTACCATTTTCCTAATTCTTTGTATTATTTTTACTGTTAATATTCATGAAAGCTCATAAAGCTGCTTTGGGTTACAATTTTAGATAAACACAAATGGATATGGACATATATATGTTCACAAGTAGATGTGTTTTTCCATTCTCCCACCTTTCAGTTGACATGGCTAGTATTCCAGCCTTTCAAATGGCCAGAAAAGACAGCGCCCAGTTATATTATGCTTTACAAGAAATGAGCATAACTACACAATGGATACACAAGGGCAGGTCAAAAACTATTGTTTAAAAATCACAGAAATCTCTATTCAACAAAGATATCACAATGTAAAGCTACTATTTCTTGACACATCCTCCATCTAGATCTCTACACTTCTGAGGGCAGTGTTTCCATCTCTCTAACCCTTTCCTGAAGAATTCTGAACTTGTCGATTTACATCATGTCAAAACGGCATTTTTGACATCCTTGAGGGAATTAAATCATGATCCTTTCCAATGTTCTTTGAGTTTCAGAAACAAAAAGAAGCCTGAAGGGGCAATACCAGAGCTGTAGGGTGCATGGGGTAAAGTTTTCCAACAAAATTCTCATAAAACAGCCCTTGCAACTCTCGAAGAATGAGCAGGTGCATTTTCATGATGAGATCAAATTCCTTGGTGCAACTTCCCTGACATTTTTCTCACCAATGTAGTTTTCAATTTTCTTAAAACTTCTTTTTAATAAGTCCCCATGAGCACCTTGTGTCCTTCATGGAAATCTATAAAGATGACCTCTTTGGAGTCACCACAGTTGCTATACCCGTGTGGGCAGATCTCTCTGCCTTGAATTGAACTGGTCCAGCAGATCCCTTCAGAAGCCAGTGTTTTGACTGGACTTTACATGGGAAGGTAGCCAACCAGACTAACACATTACATTACAGATAGAACTTGTAGGCAGCCATCACAGGTCACAGAGACATGATTAATGAAACACCTTTTGTTTAAGCTCAAACATGTATGAATTGACACCCTAGTAGCAATAGTTTTTGGTTTACCCTCATACTTTTAAAGTATAAATATAAATTATTTCTTAACACTCTGAATCCAGTATTTGTTAAATTTACTCTAAACTTCCCTAGAGCATAACATGAGAGTAGAATACATAAGTGACCCACCTGATATTCTGGCATGAAGATTTTGCTTCATGGAGACATCTTCAGGCTGAGAGAAGGACTCCAGAATTGTCAAGGCAGACCTTTGCAACGCACTATCAAAGATCGTTAGTACTTCATTGGGGAATGCATTGAAGTATTCCCCAATCTCCATGTTGGTTTCAAAGAGGGTCATGGCATTAATCACAACTGGGTAATGAGCATCTTCATCTCTTTCCTTCAAGATTAGAATAATATCATTCTTGTGGTATTCTGAAACATAGGACTCAAATACTTGACCCACCAGGGTAACGTGATCACTATTCATCTTGCATCTAGACAACTAAAGGAAAAGAGAAGGCAAAATAAAACCTTTGATAGTCACAACTTGCCTGCAATGATATCAACAATTTAACAGAAAAGATTATTTAGTTATAAATCATACTTTGGGACACACTATAATCTCAAAATAATATTTCAATACAAATCTTAATTCAATCTGATTTATCTGTTACAATCACTCAGAACATGTCCCTTTTTTTGGTGAGGGGTTTCTACATTTATTTTGTTGTTGATAACATACACAGGAAAACACACTAACTCAGCAGTTCCCACATGTCCAATTTTATGATGATTCTGTTTTTTTTAGTTATGTAACCATTCTCATTCTCCTTTTCTGAGCTGTCTCTCCCTCATTTATACAAACTCACTGCCCACTCAACCTTCTATTTCATCTTTCTAGCTGCAGATGTCAATGTGATCCCATAATAAATAGTTGTTAAAAGCATAGATTCAAGGCAGACCTTTCTCACTAGCTACGCTAAACTATCGCTTATGTTTTTATGATGATTTCAGGGGATATTTTTGGCTTCAGGTTTAAAGATTATCTCAGGGCAATAGTTTCAGGGATTCAGCTATCCTCCCTGGCTCCACAAAGTCTAGTGCCATGAGAATTAGAAATTCTGTTCTATATTTCCCTACTTTTGATCTGTATCTTTTAGGGAATCTTTGATTAAAATGGTTAGCAATAGTAGCAGGGCACTATCCAGTTCTTCTGGTCTCAAGGCAACGGAGGTAGCTGGATCATGGAGACATTAGCCACACAGTCTATATATTCCTATTTCCAAATTTTCTTCCTCTGTTGCTCCAGGTGAATAGAGACCAATTGTTGTAACTTGATGGCTGTTTGCAAACTTTTACCACCCCAGGGAAATGTAATAAACTAGGAGGTGGGAAAGAATCGCTAAATATGTTATGAGACCAATTAACTGGGATGTCCCAAGAAACCATTACCCTAAACCTCCACACCAAGAAACCAAATCTCATGAGGTGTTTGGTTGTACATAAGTCACCTTAGCAATTAATCTTCGAACCTCTCTTGCTCCTGTTGTTGTTTTAAACATCAAACAACATTTTCCTATTCAACTTTTTACAGGTCTACAAGTTATTAACAACAACGATAATAATTGGCTGTACAATCCTACCCTTAATCGTGTGATTTTTCAATCATCATTAACCCCACTTTCCTACTCCCTCTAGATACTGGTAACCAATAATAAACTTTATATTCAACACATGTGATTTTCTTGTCTTTTTATACAGGTGATGTCGTACGATATTTGTCCTTTTCATGTTGCCTTATTTCACTAAGCATAATATCTTCAAGCTCCATAAATACTTTAGTATGTATCAAGATTTCGGTTTTTTCTACTGATTGCATAATACTGGCAGTCCTCAAGGTACAAGTAAAATGCATTCTCAACTGTGTCTAATTTTTGGTTCTTACCTACCTTGAAGTCCTGATGTGGTGCTGTAGGATAAGCACATTGTTGTTATCTGCTGTGGAGTCGGTTCTGACTCACAGCAACCCTGTACACGGTTTCTGAGGCTATAAATCTTTATGGGAGCAGAAAGCCTCATCTTTCTCCCGCGGAACAGCTGGTAGTTTCGAACTGCTGACCTTGCAGTTCGCAGCCCAATTTGTAACTACTACGCTACTAGAGCTCTGTAGGATAAGCACATAATGGATAGCTAATGGCAAGGTCAGTGTTTCAAGCCCACCAAACACTCCTCAAAAACTCTATACAAGGTTGCTGACTCACAACTGATTCATCAGCACTTAACAACAATGATTTGCCCTTAGTTCAGAGCAAGAAAAAGTCTGAAGCAAGTTAATTATCTAATACAGCTCATCTAGCCATATTCCTCCATTCGCTTATGCATTATAAATCCTAACCTCTATACCTATGATTATGGTTCCTTTGTGGATTAAGGTAAAATGAAAGAATAAGGAGTTCTGGTATGGTGCTGTAGGTTAAGTACTGGATTGCTAACCACAAGGCTAGCAGTTCAAACCATCAGCTGCTCCTTGGAAAGCCTATACATGATCACTGTGAGTCTGAACTGATTTGAAAGCAATTAAAAACAACAAGGCCTAAACTTGCAAATAGTACCCATTTGACCTAGCTTCAATGGCTAGATAATCAGAACTTGACTGGAGGAAGATAAAGTAATTGGATAAAGGAAACATGTGTAAATTGCTATAATTTGCTGAACTTGACCTATGCTTATGGATTTAGTAGCTCAAAGTATCAACTGAGAGGGAAGGAGTCTTCACATCAAAGATCAAACCTATCCCCTCTGTACACATGGTTCAAAGGGACAGGCAACTGAGACACTGGATA